ACGTAACAAATATTTTTTACAACAGCGACGACGAGTCATACCTATGGGTATATAGGCGAACGAACACAATGCCAATGCTAAAAAACATTTGATACGTTATTGATAAATAGACTAGAGATTTTTATGCATTTATAAGAAATTTCAAAGTGCAAAATAGCACGTAAAATAAATAAATAATGTTTGATACACAAAACAATTTTCTTACAGGATTCAGCAATTTTCAAAAACGTGAATTTGCATAAAAATCTGCAATCTATTATAATGTTATAAATATTATTACACAAAATATGTTTGTATCACATTATATTTTTGGGATTTATAGAAACGATTGATTCTCGTGCAGTTTGTCATCCTCCATAAGTACAAAACATTAGAACATCGTGTCTGAATATTTTTCTTGTACAATTTTATACATATAAATGAAAAAGATACGATCGATCTGTCTAGACATAAATTTCCTCTATCTATTTAATCTGATGCTCAATTTAAAATAAATCCAAACTGCAGGAGCCAAATGTTTTTATATTTCAATAAAATTAATCTTTATTTGTTAATGATATCTGGATTGTAAAAACATAATAATGGTAACAGCAATATACTGGACATTATAATGTCTACAAAAAAATACACTGTTGCATTTCTTTCAAATAAAAGTAATACATTTACTTTTAAAAGAGTGCATTACTGTTGAGTTTTATTCATTGTAGAACTAAACGAGGAACTATGTATATAAGAAGAGTATTTCGGGATTTTTATTTTGTATGAATATGCGTTTGAATTAATGATAATTATGATAACTGAAGTAAAAATTATAGTTTTAATATACCGTTTGTATTTAATAAATAAAATATAGATTTAATAACTTATTATTTCGCAATAATTTTTTATACTTGCAATTTTTTAAAATATCTTTAAATATGATTATTATACAAACATTATATTTTCATTCTGCTTTTTATCTACAATGAAAGGTAGAGGAAAAGGCGTTCTCAAGAAGTTTGATTGTTTTATACATCCTGAATATCATATATTTTACAGCGAAGGTAAAAATTTCATTAAAAATATCGCTAGTATAATATTAGATTACTAATGTATACACTATCTTTGTACATGTTGAAATATACGTATGAAATATACTATAACTCTGAATAGATATAAAAAAATGTATTGAAATTTTATTCATCTGTTGTACCCCAGTGTTAAATGACTTTTAGCACTTTCGTGTCACTAAGAATTATGTGAATAAGTCCATCAACTCGTGTCTCGGCATTTTAACTCATCCAAACTCTAACTCAAGTCATTTTGTATTTTATTTTCTCTATTGACCTAACTTATTTTAGTTTCAATCCTCTTAATTTGATATTTCAGCCTGTCAACCAAACACTTCATCTCATACAGTTTGCCGACCCCTGATTCGATCAACATGGATCATAATCATCAAGTCAAGGTCATACTAATGTAATACTCTTTTAGTTGCGTTCTCCTCCTTGCGTTCTATGTACTTCCAAACTGTGTATTTCTAAATTTCCAACCTGTAAGAAATAAAGCATATATGATATTATATATATTGAAAAAACCAATTCTGTAAAAACTTTTTTGCAGAAGACATATTTATCAAAGGAAAATGATCGCTAATTATTGCTTGCCTCCTGCTGAGGCTCTTTGTTGGATGGTTTTAACAATTTTCTTAGAAAAGGTGCCAGTAACATTGGGTCCAATTTTTCGACATTTTCGGACGAGATTAGGCTGACAACGAGGCCAATAGTCATCGTCACTAATGCACCAGTAACAGTATACCAAAGATAACTGAGACGATACAACGCTAGAGGTTCTCTAAAAATATCAATAAAATTAATGACAGAAAAGTACAATTGTTGTTTTTATAAATATAAATTGTTGTTGTTTGCTGTTAGAAATTCGATAATTACGGAAGAAATTCGTCACCATCTAGAATCGTGTCTGGAGGCTCAAGCAGCATTAAGTTTTCTACTTGAGGGAACGAGTAGTAACATCCTTCTGTGCTGACTGGTTTCTCGTCAAATCTATCGAAACATTTTACATTCGGCAATATTGAGAAAAAAATCACGAGTATTTTAAAGCAATTTGTCTTTTTAATCCTCACTTTATCCTCCCACTAGCGATCGCTGCTTCCGCCGAAAGACTAATCCAGCCCATAAAACCCAAACCAGAGAGACCGCCTATTAAGGCACCCTATATTTTG